GCACGAGGTGGGGGGGATGCATACAATTGGACTGTCTTCCTTGATTCAATCAGGGTAATGAGTCCATAACCATTCTGAATCTCGAACAAAGACTTACCTGCTCTGTAGAAAATGTAACTGCCATCATCTTTATAACTTAAGCTGTTATATTCGTATAAAGACAAATAACTGCATTTGTTAGTTATATCATTTCTTTTCCTTACTGTCTCAGGTGATTGCCCATCTTTTGAAGCCTCGCGGCTGGAAGCCGCCTGTTCGGCGGCAATTTTTCTTGGACTGCAATGAGATGGCTGATCTTTGTGACACTGCCGAAAGGATATTTGCGAGTGAACCTAGCGTTTTACAGCTTAGGGCTCCTATTAAGATATTTGGTGACCTGCATGGGCAATTTGGGGATCTTATGCGGCTTTTCGATGAGTATGGTTCCCCATCGACTGCTGGGGATATATCGTAAGTGCCTTGACTCAATCTAGCTTCTAGCTGTTTTATTTTCTGTCCAAGCCATTTGACTGCATAAATTCCTTGGATTGCAGTATTTTTTCGATTTACCCTCTTTTTGTTTTGAATGAATATTTTGATTGAAACTTGCGGGCGTCGCAGTTTGCTTGTTGTTGTAACTGTCTGGTGTCTCGGTACGGCTATCAGAATTCTGATACTGATTTTATGGAAAACGGTCATATTTACCCCTCTGCTTTTGAGAGTTGTTCATATCTACCCTCCATTTGAGTATTCGACTGTGTATAGCCCTACCGTTACACATTTGAACACAAATATCACTCAGCCGTTAAGAGACCCGAACCCATCATTAAAATCAACAAGTGGAGGGCAAATACACATTTTAAAACACCCAGTTCATTTGCCCAAACCCATTATCCGACCCATCCAAAAATCTGTTTTAATTCGTAATATTTGCAAGGTCCGAATTATGCCCAATTGCTCAAATTAGGAATAATAATCGTATTCCTCATCTTGGCTGTGTTAGCCATATACTTTGCTTTTGTGCTATGGAACCATTTGATTGTAAAATCCTGTTGTCTTCAATTAAAGGGAAAAGATGAGACCAATAAACACTCTTGGTAAAAGTTATGTAGCATAACCAAATATCCCATGTAGCAGATTATGTAGCCTTTATACATCAAAACTTATATTCTAAGCGACACTTTACTTGGTCTCAGGTGAGGCTGTCACAATATTCTCTTGGTGTCTATTTGCTGTCTCTCATGTCATTCTGACTCCTGCAGACTTGTACCATTTTTTGGATTGATCTATCACTTAGATCAGTTTGATGTGTCAAGAAAGATTTGTTCTTCTAGTTTGATACTAATTTTGGTAAGTGAATACCAGGTATATTGACTACCTCTTCTTAGGAGATTATGTTGACAGGGGCCAGCACAGTTTGGAAACGATAACTCTTCTTCTTGCTTTAAAGGTACCTCTTGTGTATAATTCTTCTTGCTTTAGAGGTACTCTTATACCTGGTTGTTTGTATGCTTTCAACTTCTTAGTTATCTGTGATTTTGATGATCATAAATTGATGCTTTAGGTTGAGTATCCCCTCAATGTACATCTAATTCGTGGCAACCATGAAGCTGCAGATATTAATGCGCTTTTCGGCTTTCGAATTGAGTGCATCGAACGGATGGTATGTTATGATTTACTGGGTGAAGCTTGTCCTTGCTGTCCAAGCTAGATACTGATGTCCAATTATGCAACAGGGTGAGCGAGATGGAATTTGGGCATGGCATCGATTTAATAGATTGTTCAACTGGCTTCCTCTGGCAGCATTAATCGAGAAAAAGATAATCTGTATGCATGGTGGTATTGGAAGGTCAATTAATCATGTTGAACAAATAGAAAATATCCAGCGTCCTATCACTATGGATGCTGGCTCAATTGTTCTTATGGATTTATTGTGGTTAGTCTCTCTCTTCTCTTGTGCTTCCTTCATTGACTTTACATACTCATATTTTCTCACATCAGTGTGTGTTTCTAGGTCTGACCCAACAGAAAATGATAGCGTTGAAGGATTAAGACCAAATGCAAGAGGTCCAGGGTTGGTCACTTTTGGGGTGAGTAATTTTCATTCCGTATCAATTTCAGTGAGTTAATTTTCTCTTGATCTTGTTTTGGGGTAGTGGAATCTTTTGTTTTCGTTCAACTATTGTCTCTTATTTTGGGAAGCTGCAACATTCTTATTAGTTAACTGGAGTTACTTAAGAGGGCCCATTGCAGAAAGATATGATATTTCAAACATAAAAGTTGAGATTGCTCCATCTCTGCCCTCTTTTTCCACTTTGACATTCTATGGGCTGTCATTTTCTTGAGTTTGTTTTGTGCAAATTGCAGCATTTCCATCTTTGTAACTTGGATGTTTTTAATTTCTATGTCCAAGCTCTTTTCATTCAAGACAACTGAACTCACAAGTCCTTGAAGTCACTTATCTGTTTGCTGAACTGGAGTTTTAGTACTTCAGTTAATGTGGTGCTTGAATATTAGATATCACTGCTATTCTGTCTCAGGGGTCTTTAGTGTGATGTAGTTTCTCTAGCATTTCCTGTCGCACTAATGTAAACACTTGCATACATGCAGCCTGATCGTGTGATGGAATTCTGCAACAACAATGATCTTCAACTGATAGTCCGAGCACATGAATGTGTGATGGATGGATTTGAACGATTTGCTCAGGGACATTTAATTACACTTTTCTCAGCCACTAATTACTGTGGTATGATGTTACAAATTTTGGATGTTTGGAAGTTTTCTACTTTATTTATATGGTTTTATCTTTATGCAAAATATTAATGTTCTTTTTTTTTCTTTCTACAGGTACTGCTAATAATGCTGGTGCTATCTTGGTATTGGGTAGAGATCTTGTTGTAGTTCCGAAACTTATTCACCCGCTGCCGCCAGCAACATCTCCTGAAACTTCACCAGAGCGGCATATAGAGGACACTTGGATGCAGGTTTGTTATTTCCAGATCTTCTTCGACCCAAATATTCTTTGGTTTGATGTGTGTCTAATCACTCTTACAATTGTTGGGATAGGAGCTAAATGCTAACAGACCACCTACACCAACTAGAGGACGTCCTCAAGTTGCCAACGATCGAGGTTCTCTCGCTTGGATTTAGAATATAGTTCGATTATTTTGCTATACTTCCAGGCTCATGCTTACATGTAGGATTTCCAGTGATATGTACATAGCACGACACCATTCAGAGAGTTCCATGGAAATGCTTATCCTCTTGAAAAGTTGAAGGCTTGAGGCACCTTAGGGATTCTTCCACAGAAAAGATGCTTTCAGAGGATCAGATTTAGATATTGGAGGTTGCAGGCGCATGGTCTATTCATCATGATGCAGAGCAGTTCGGGGTTTCTGATAGTTGCCCTTTGTACATTGAGCCACAAGCAGGTAGAAGGATTTTATCATGATGCAGAGCCAGTTCCTGCTGGGTTTTTATTGTATTTTATTCCTTTTTAAGAGCCAGTTCCAGGTGGGTAGTGCTGGGTTTTTATTGTATTTTGTTCCTTGTTAATCCTACATATTTTTTTCCTCGTTTAGGGTGTATCATTTTTGTCTACAGTAGAAGAGGACTTGAGTCGTCCCCCACATATGATTGCTGTCGTAATTCATGTATCATAGAGGTGGTTACTTTGTGTAATTGTATTGGTGCCTTGTAAAATGTTGCTTCCACGTGAACAAGAAAAAGATACGAAAAAATAGCTGGTCATCTACTATTTATGTTTTTTATTTTCGTCTTCCTTTGAAGAAATTTAGAAACTCAGTTGGAAGCATAAGCTCCTTGTTTATTGCATACAGCGCCTTTAGATGTTTAGTATTCTCTCAATGCATCAAAAGAGGCAGAGAATTGCGTTGAGCTTTCGCCATTGACTACGTCTTTGGGTTTCTTCGAAAACAGTTTACTTTTATCAGTACTATGTTAGACTATTCTTTCATTCTACTTTACAAACTATCGTCAGGAGCAGTATCTTGTTGAGATGTGGAGATTGTGTTGTAATGGGTTATTTGAATAAGGTGTAGTCCACCTTCACCTTTGATTTGGGTGTTGACGTCTTGAGGTGTATAGGCGACCTTTTTAGAGTTAACAAGAATTCGATTGAATTTAACTTTTAACAATTTTTCTCTTTCTCATACCTCTTCTATTATGCACAAGAACCAATTTCTCTTGTCCAACGGCCATTTGAAGTCTACATCTTCAACTCTCATATATTCTTGCAAACTTCAACATGTTTGACTACTGACGAAAGATTAACAGAATGATAGAGAAGTAATTTAGGGGAAAGCGAATATGGCTTCTTCAGTATATGCACATTACCTTAATAAATGTATATTAGTTTCAGATTTTGCATACTTAGAGTCATTTACGCAATTGGAGCTAGAGAATACTGAAAATACATCAGATGTAATTCAGTCAGTCTTTCCATGTCATTCTCTAAGAGGTGAATTTCCCCTGCTCTCTCGCTCTCTCTCTCTCTCAACAGCTACATTTCTTGAACAGCTACTACCTACATAACCCCTCTCCCTCTTTTCAAGGAAGTGCATCTCAGACCCTATGTAGTTTTGTCCTTTTTTTAACAGTTCCTGACAGGTGCTTTTGTGGCTCTTCCCTCCAGCCCTGAAGTGAGCTCATTTTAACGTGGACTCTCTCTCTCTCTCTCTCTCTCTCTCTAGATTTCACTTTAGGAAGTCTGATGATCAAATAAGGTAACCAGTGCAGAACAGAATACCAAAAGCTGGCATCTTTCCGGGCAGGTCCACACTTGAATGCCAATAATAATTTGCTGCTCAATAATTAGTATCTCAAAGGATACATCTTTACACGAGTGTGAAGCTTACCCTCAAGAAGCCAGTTCCTAAGCTTGGATGAGATTCACATAACTGTGAGAGGAATAAAATACTATCAAGTACATGTGTTAATCTCGTTTAACTGGTCTTTAAACATAAGATTTGTTGGGATCTTTTGTCTTTGAGCTTTGGAGGCCGAATCTCTCATTTCTTAACCTGCAAAAAAGCATGATGAAACTTGTTCAATCATTTTTACTTCAATTATAAGATGCTTGCCACCCACACCCTATTCTTTACCATTACAATCAATGATGTTGCCCAAGATCATCACTCAAATTCAAAGTGGCTTTGTTAAAGGAAGAGCCATAACTAAAAACATTCTCTTAGCACAGAAGCTCATCAATGATGTTGGCAAACTTAGGAAAGGAGTTAATGTGGTGATTAAATTGGATATGGCTAAAGCCTATGACAAAGTCTCTTGGCTCTTCTTATGTTTTATGCCGAGGAAATTGGGATTTGCCGAAGAATGGATTGAACTAATTATAGATTCATTTCTAACAATTGGTATTCCAACGTTATGAATGGTGGTAGACATGGCTTTTTCAAATCAGGAAAATGTCCCAGACAATAACAATAATAAGATAATAACAGAACCGAAGTAGAAGCATCATCGGGTAGTAATAAAAATCTAAGAGTAAGGAAATAACCTTCTACCTTAATCTTTAACATCCATACTTTCCTATCAAGAGTTAGTCCAAAATAATCACGTTGAATTTGAATTAATTGAGACTTAAAAAAGTAAATATCTCACATTAGGAGGAGAATTAAAAAACTAAAACTGATATCATCCTTTACGTCAGCTGACCGGCAAAAAAAGAGCCCGGAACCAAAATGTGATTCTTTTGGACTTAAAGAATCAAAATCTATGAAAAAAAACTGGTGACCATAATATATATAACGCCCTTTTATAAGACGCTATAGCTTAACGGCCGTTTGCCCAGTTAAGTATAGCGCCCTAATATACGACGATATATATATAAAGCCCTAACATACCGCACTATATATATTATGTAGGCCGACCAATAATTCTTCTGGGCTTAACTGACATAACAATAATTCAACTGGGTATAACGCCCATATTTAAGGCTCTATATCTCAAATAATTATTCCCCCAGACTGGTTTTTGCCTTATTTAAAGAGGTTAAGGATTTTGTAAAAAACCATTCATAAATATTTNAAACGTTTGGTGAATATTAAAGTAACCGAAAGATATCCATATTTTGTCACTCCGCAAGGGGTTACTTGTTATGCTGAGTTTAACATCGAGGACGCTGAAACTCTGAGAGATTTTTTGAGGACTCCAGATGAATACCGAGAATTTCTTGTGATAAAAATGTTGGAAATGTACGTCAAGGCTGAAAACGTTCGCAATAATGAGGTTGCGCAAAGTAGGGATATCCCTCAATCATCGGGCGGTTATTTTGGAGCAGTTTTAGCCGAACAGGTTCCGGGTGAAAGAGTTTGACATGATCTAAACTTATCTCCACGGGCGAATGAGGATCAAGAAAATAATTTCTCACCTAGTTTACATAATCCACAAGCCGATTGGTAAACTTTAATTTTTCTTTGTGTTAAGATGCTTATTTTTATGTATTGAATTTGTATTAACACTCATATATCCACAAGGGGTACCGGCCATATATGAATTTTACAAGTTATGAACCAATGCCCACTTGGAATATTATGCCTAGTTTTGGTGTGTTGGATCATGGTGGTCCATCCGGGAGTAATCATCAACAAGATAATGTCCATCATAGGATATCAACACATTATGATTTGTAAGTGAAGTGATAAAGCTATAAGTTTGGATCAATTTGAGTAACTCATTATTTTGTTGGTTGTGCACTGAAAATGAGCAACTTGAAGGTCCCGTCCTTACTCAATTGCACGAAGACAACATATTTAATCGGGATCTGGCAGATGCGCAGAGTCAGGAAGAGAATAGTGATTATGACAACAATGCCGATGAGTATGGAGATGACACACCCTTCCCCGATTAGGGTAATGATGAGGAGGAAGAGAATGTTGAACCTGATTTGACGAGGGAGCATGCTCTACCTCCCGGTAGACAAAGAGTGTACGAGTCCCACGTGTCGTTTCATTCAAGGGAGATTCCCTACCTTGATCATTTGCCAAGTATGTCAGATGTGGATGCCCTCACAAGGGATATTGACGAAATTTGGACAACAATGTGGGATAAATCTAGAGCAACGGCGATGTCAAATAGCATGCTTTTTCCTGATAAAATGTGCCTAAGCAGGGCAATGCGAATGTACAGCATAAAAGAGTGTACAGCGTAAAAGAGTCATCTCCAGATATATACAAGGTTATTTGCTGTAGATGGTTTACGGGTTGTAATTGGATGATGCGTACGAGGAAGAAGAAAACAAATATGTGGGTCGTGGGTAAATACATTGGCACCCACAATTATGAAATGGACACATTCAGTTGGAATCATTTTAACTTGAATGTTGACTTGATTTCTCTTATCTTGATTCCACACATTAAAGCGTCCATAAGGTATAAGATCAAAGAGTGTATAACATCTGTCCACCAGGAATATGTGTGTACCATTACCAAAAGAAAGGTATTTCTCGGGTGCAAACGTGCGTTTGAAATTATTTATGGTAGATGGGATAAGTCCTTTGCATCTCTACCTAGGTACATGGCCGCATTGCAACACTTTAACCCTGGGACTGTTGTTGAATGGAAGCTTGAGCGGAGTCCGGGAATACCAGAACATATATTCAGATATGCGTTCTAGGCATTTAAACCAGCAATTGATGGTTTTGTGCATTATCGACCAGTAATATCCATAGACAACACTCATGTCTATGGAAAGTATGATATTAAGTTGTTGATCGTCGTTGCAGTAGATGCTAATGGAAGTATATTTCCCCTAGATTTTGCTATTTGTGCCAATGAAAGACAAGAGACGTGGACACTATTTTTGAACCACTTGAAGGAGCACGTTGTCAGACAACGTTCACGTATTTGTCTAATATCTGATCGGCATGGCGATATTTTAAGTTCTGTACAGAATTTGTCTACCTGGCAGGAACCGTATGCCTACCACCATTACTATGTGAGACACCTGAAGGCCAATTTCGAGAAGGCACATCCCAACAAGGATTTGCATGATTTAATGTGGATGGCTGCAACATATCACCAAGAGTGTAAATTCAAGAGTCGCATGGAATCGATCAGGTAGGAAGACGAAGAAGCCTATCATTCGTTGATGCGATATGAGCTTGACAAATGGACTTTGCATGCGGATGGTGGCAGAAGATGGGGAATTCTGACTACAAATATGTTATAATCTTTCAATGGGTTATTGAAGTCTGCTCGTAGATTGCCTGTCAATGCCATGGTGCGGATGTCATTCAAGGAGATGGCGGAGAGGTTTGTTGAAAGGGCTAGAGGTGCATCGTCATTGATGGAAATGGGTGTTGAATTTATGCCAATACCAATGAAAAGATTTGAGAAATACAGAAAGCGGGTACATTAGCATTCATTTTTGTAATATTGCAACGAGCGAAATATTTTTGAAGTTCGCACCACTATCCATCACAACTGGGGGAATAATACACACATCGTCAATGAATCCAGAAGGTTATGCTCCTGTGTAAAATGGTCCATCTATCACGTGTCGTGCTCACATGCCATGAAGTGCTTTCACCATACAGGTTTCGCGGCAACACGGTATGTTGATAAAGAATATAGTGTTGCTGCATACGTAAACACCTATAGTGGACAGTTGCAGCCAGTGGGTGCTGAGCATTATTAGCCGCCAGAACCATTTAAAATGGTGTGTAACAAGGAGTATTTGCGTCAACGACAGGTGCAAAAAAGAACGCGTATACGGAACCAAATAGATATTGGTG